GACCGGTGTGGAGACTTGACGGGCGCGGCTCATTATTATTATCAATTGACAATTTCATCGTGGGCTCGCGCTTGACATGCGCTTCGCAATTATTCATGTACACTTATGCCTATTGTTAGATTATATTGATCATTATCGTTGAATCGTTCAATGACGCGATACGTATTTTAGAGGAGCGAAGCAGTGTGCGAAGAACAAGGAGGAAAATGCATCGTTGTGCTGGGTAGTCCTGGAAAGATATCGATCGCCTGGATATTCTTAAAATCGAATTTTTCCGAGTTGCCAGTTGCTTTTCAGATGTTAATTTTTATATGGCGTGTGTTATCGACTTTTAATATCTTCATTTGCTGGATAAAGGCGTATGCTTTGAATAGTGACAAGACGTACTCGCAGTTCTTTTTATCAACAGTATAGAAAATATATTGATGTTCAAAAGATGTTGAAAATAAGCGGAAGAGAGATAGATAGAGAGAGAGAGAAAGAGAGAGAGAGAGAGAGAGAGAGAGAAATTCTGCAATGCAATAAAAGCTAAATGGCGTAATATGTACAGTGATTATAAAATTAATGTTTGACCGTGTAAATAAATTACATTAAAATTTATGTTAAAAAGGAAAAAAAAGCTTAAAGATGATATACTCTTTGGTTGAACTTTATTTAAGATTTTCAAATTGGCTTTCTTTTTATTCAATTTTATTTTATCGTTTATAATATTGTTCACTTGCGATATTATATTTACGATAATAAAATATATGTTATCTCATAACATAGCATTGGATTCTAAAGAACATCTTTATTATTTAGAATTTTTTTTTCTCACCAAGTAAATTTACAAGAAAAATGTACATTCGAAAAAATACGCTGATATTCGACAATCCACGGAAACTGACTTTCGTGTCATTAATTAAAATGCAGAATCGACACTTGGAATATTATTTATTTCATATTTTAGATATTATTACATATGCCTGTTGGTTTACGGAACGTTATTATCATAAAAACATGACAATAAATGTTGATTATTTGTTAGAAGGATTTTACAACACACAATACAATTTCTTTTACGAATTTTATCATTATACAATTATTTGTATTATGTATTATTTGTTCGGAAATACTTTTTCTTAGAATATTCGCGTCTTCTAAGCCGTTGCTTAATCTTCATTAATAATTAATTCGTGTATCGTAATAAAAAAAAAAAAAAAAAAATAATAATAATAATAATTATTATAATTCTTTAATTCGATAAGAAGAAAAATAAGAAAAAAGTAAATTTTACATTATAATAATTGAATTTATTAAAGGATTAATCTACGTGGGAGTTATGAAAATTTCGTAACGACGATAATAAAAGGATGAAAGAAAAGTTATTAATGTTCTTGTTAATTTACTATTACTGGATGAAAGACTTGAAATACTCTCGGTACGAATCACATTGACGTTAAACCTATGGCGATGACGATGCCTAATGATATTATTATTATTATTATTATTATTATTATTATTATTATTATTATTATTGTTGTTGTTGTTGTTGTTGTTGTTGTTGTTATTATTATTGTTGTTGTTGTTGTTGTTGTTGTTGTTGTCGTTGTCGTTGTCGTTGCCGTTATTATAATAAACGATATGACATAATAAAGTTCGCCCTCTCAATCGACTATCGATCTTACACGTCCAGCATTCCACGTCCAACTTACCCCAAAGTGACACCGCACACTCATTTACATGTCCATCGTACGATTAATCAAACGGTCCGCTTGCACGTTCAGCCCCACCTCGTCTCTTCATTTCGCATTTCCCTTTCACAGTGACGCGTCCCATAATGCACGAACCGTATTAAAGTTCCATCTTCTCTCGCCCTCTAATTGATGCGTCTCTTCTCGAATCGAGGGATCGTTCGTTTACGTAGGATTTTTTTTATCGCTGATGGCAATTGTCCTCTTTGCAAAATGGGCGACCGTGCATAGATTTAGTTTATCTTGAAATTATCGATATGGGTTTCGGTTCTTTTCACGGCAACGTTTTTCCATTCACAAATTAGCCCTTAAGGTCGATAATGTTAAAGTTCATAGAGAGTCGTCTAATTGAATGCATAGATTGATCTGATTAAATAATACGAAATCTGCGGATGATTTATGGTAGAGGATGCACGGTCTATTTGAATTACATGCAATTCAGTATTACGGGGTTACATTAACGATATTAACAATTAGAATTACTGCATTGGCATTATGTGCTTACAAGCGCAATTTAACACAAGACTGTGACGCGTTGACGATGCATTCGTAAAATAAGCGTGTCACTCGTGCGCGATCTCGATCAATAGTTTTAAAAGTCTGTTCGAGTCTCGCTTGACAAGTAAAAATTATTTATGGGTACGAAGAGGCAAGGAGTAGTATCTGCGCCATTGACTCATCGGGGCAAAATAAACGCGGATACAATGAATAAGCAGAAGAGAGAGAGAGAGAGAGAGAGAGAGAGAGTGAGAGAGAGAGTAGTTATTAGATAAGACAAAATTATCACGATAAAGTCATGTTACAAATTTTTTATAATTATCAATTCTGTGATTGCGATATCGTCTTTTCGATATACTATCTATTTTAAAAATATCATCCATTTAATGCAATGAATTTCCTATTAAATTAGATTGTCTTTTGCTGTGTTTTAGAATCCAGGCGGAATGAACTTAAAAGAGCGGAGAAATTTCTAATTATCTTCGATTAATGATTGCATAGTTAAGGTGTAATATTACACAAACGTCGATAGTATTCAATAAATAAAATTATATTGAATGTTAAAATATCATTTAATATTATTTCAAAAATATTACAAATGCTATTTTGTTTCTAAAAAATAATCGTGTGCACTTACTATTTATTTATATATATATATATTCTGATTTACTTTGCTTAATTTCTGTATTTATAAATATTTTATAAGAGAATGATTGTCAAAAGTTATTAAAAAAAAAAAATAGTTATTCAAAAAAATATAAGATTATGCCTTATAACTTTTTGTCAGTGAAGGTTTTATTGTGAAATGTATAATGTGAAGCGATTTTAGAAAAAGTTAAATTAACATTTTTTCGTTTACCTAACTATGATGCAAGAGACAATTGAATGAACATTCTCCCTATAAACGAACAGCATAGTATTTTACAATATAATAATCACTTGATTAAATTAAAGATGAAGTAACGTTAATGTATGTCCATTAAAAGTACATTACCAATTAATTAATGCAAGCAACAGCAAAATATCATATTTATAATAATTTATCGCCATTCGTATTAATTTACATAAATTATGCCCAATAGATAGTATTGATTTATTTCTTTATATTTTCATATTTTCATACGTTACTTAAAACTCGACAATGGGATTTTATTTGAATACATTGATACAGCGACAATAACATTTAGTTTTAAACTGCAATATCCTAGTTATCGGGCATCGCCGAGGCGTAATAGACAAATAATGTACGGGTCGTATAGGCGCACAATCGTCGTCCCCATAAAGCTATAAAGAAATGACCTGGTGTATGGTCATCCGACCTCAAAACAATAATCATCGTCTACGTAAGTCGAAAGATAGGCGCGACGCTTTTCATTCCTCTATTATCTCACTCATTGGCGAGCGATGCTTTGTTTTCGTCTCGATTCATCGCTCGGAAACTAGACGCAAGTCGCACTTAACATGCAATCGCGTACGCGTGCAATGGACCTCATCACACCTCCCATCGATTTAATTGGGTTAAATCGCTTCCGATGCTTATCAAATCCCGATTGTTCCACCGTTTCAATCCTACTTTTTATAATTCTTATTAAAATTTAATAGCCGTTTATGTCAATATGTCGCCGCTATTCTTAAATACTTGCGTAATCGGCAATCTCTTGTCCCTATTACGTACGACGTAATGGCGGAAAATGTTTTTATTTTATCCGGTAATTATAAACGAAATCGAGCACATCGACACGCTTTCAATTAGGTCATTTTATCAGCTAAAATCCGTTTGATTTAACGATATGTTAAGTCCTACTTATGTGTCGATGTGGACAAATCTTTTATGTAATGATTGAAATGGAAGAATTTCTGCAAAAGAGTTTATGTGACGTTTGCTTAAAAATTTTTTTCTTTTAATTGCTATTGTTTGCCTTACTTTAATTATTTTTAAATTAATTAAAATTCAACGCCGGATATTTTAATTGTATTTTCTTAAGTCTAGTCACCATGTTATATGCAATTTTTCATTCTAATCAATTAATATGCACTAAGAGGATAAATGATGAAACAATGCAGACGGATGTGATAAACTATTACGATTATTACATTCTTCTTCGATATACTTACTGGGAATCACCCTGATAACAATATAATTACAGATAAATTTAAAAGAAAGCTTCTGTGAATTTAAAGTAATGATAATTTCAATTCTAAGACCAAATATTGTTCCCCGACTCTTCTAGGTAACTCTATAGAGATAGACAATAATCTTCGGTGAAAATAATTTTATGTACACAAGTATTATGTGATAGATGAAGGAAGTATCGTGAAAAGATCAACGAACGCAGTAAATTAATAGCCCGAAATACTATTAATATTCATTGCGTTAGGTTGTCACGTATCTACACAAAGTTACCTAAAAATAACATATAAACTATCGATATAAATTACCAATGTTGATATTAAAAATTGTAATATTATAGCAAATTTCTTATGTATCGGAATCTAGCGAAAAAGACAAAAAAAAAAAAAAAAAAAAAAAAAACCCCCAATACTTTAATACAAATATTATTATAAATAATTTAGAATGACCTGTCGATCCTGAAAGAATCAAATTTCTATGCAAAATTTAATTAAAACGATATTTTCATCTACAAGTTGTTGTAAAAAATATTTTCATAGAGTAGAGAGCGAAAGACCAGACCTCTTCCCTTTTCATTTAATATTTCAATATTAATTTGAACATATAATTAATCTAAAAAGTCCATTTTTAACTTTTAGTATTCAGCGTCGATTGAAGGCGGAGAACAGATAGAAGGAATTTTTTCAGAAAAATTACAGATACCAGGATATTACGTGGTTACGACAATTCCAGAAGGAGCCACATCGATCAATGTAACCGAATTAACTCGAACAAAAAATTTTTTGTGTAAGATATGTTTTGCAGTACTTATATTTTTTAATAAAATATATATATATATTTCTTCTTTGACTTTGAGATAAAGTTTTTTTTTTATTAGCTTTTTTTCTTGTTATTAATGTTCAAAAATAGCTGGCAAATATGTTTAAATGTCGATAATTTAGAGATCGTTTTTTAAAAAGCTATTATACCTATACATACTAAACTGCATTAATTTTATCAAAGCGTTAATTATAATTAATAAATATCGTAACGAGAGTTACAAGATGTAATGATATTTGAGCAGTTTATTTGTAAATAATGAAGATATTTTTTATTTAACGACAGTATACATTGTATAGTAATGGATACTTTTATTCGTTCGTTATATAGACATAAGAAAACTTTTTAAATTATCAATTATTAGAAAGTGATCATAAACTATCGGTCGATGCCACTATTTCTGTCAACATGTTTATATTTTTCTTTCTTTTTTTTTCTTTTCTTTCTATTTATTCATTCAAAATTCTCTCTATTTTCTATTCTTCTACAAATTATTTAAAAATCCATTTACCATAATTTAATAAATACAAATATATATTGAAAGCATTTTTCATTAATCATCAATAGCTATAAGGTTACAGAATGGCAGTTATTTATTTAATGCAAATAACAATATCGATTGGTCCAACACTTATAAGGGTGCTGGAACGAATTTCGTTTATATTCGTCGTAGTGAACATTATCCCGAAACGTTTTATGCTGCTGGTCCGCTGAATTCGTCGGTAGACGTAATGGTAAGTTATTTTTTAATATCTATACGAGCATCGTTATATTATATTAAATCCATATTCCAAGGACTTTTAATTTTCTTTTATCTTTTAAATCTCTAATTTAACACATACCATATAAACTAATCCATTATTAGTTTTTTTCCATTATTACTAATACAATAAGTCCAACAGCTTGATAAAAATAATAATATTCTTTATAAAACGTTAAATTACTATGCAATATAAAATTGTTATTTTATTTATTACAGTTACTGTATCAACAATACGAGCCGAAAATTTTTTTCCAGTATGAACTTCCCGTTGATTTAAAGGAATCGGTGGTACCTACGGTAAAAAGTCTCGGTAATTCTCATAAAAATTGTTATAAAATTGATTTGAATGCTGCCTATTAAATCAATTTCATTAATTATCGAAGTATTTATTAATTATTAATTATTATTCGTACAATGTCTAGATGCCGATTCCTCATCTCAGCCGACGCAGCTTATGAGGTAAATATTTATGCACAAATCTTGATTTATTTTATTTATGTTCATTGGTTCATTAATTAATCCTATGATATTTTTAGTACAATTTCTGATAATTTGATGTTAAGGGATGAAATAAGATCGTCGACTTTCGTGCCAAGAAGAAGACGAAAGCGAAAGTTTGTTTGGAGGGCTGTAGGTTTCGGCAAATGCAGTAAAACCTGTGGTGGTGGTAAGAAAATAATATAACCCTTAAACACTTTGCATCAAATTATAATCGAATATAACGTTTGCCAATCTTAAGCAATTTGAAGGGCTTCTTAAATAATTTTAATTATTGTTTAACAACAGGCTTCCAGACAAAAAGATACATTTGCACACGTCTGCGTAGCAAACAACAAGTGTCCAATAGGAAATGCGAGCTGTTGGAAAAGCCGAAAGTTGTAATCGTTCGATGTAACAGTGGTCCATGCGAGCCCGAGTGAGTTTGCTCATTTTGCTAATTATTTTTTCATCCAAAACAATGTGACGCCATTACGTTTTCCATTATCATCGTAGCAATCCCTATACATTTTCCTATTCTTCGATAAAAGCAACTAGCTTGCTTAACAATTTTCCTCTTTCGTGATACTTACATTACGGATTTCACATCACCGGCATCTCCGTCGCCATACATATATGCATACTCTCGGCTCCAATGAAAAACTTGAAAAATGCCATAAAGCCATACCATTCTCCATGAATTTGCATTTAAAGTGAAAAATGAATGGCCGATAGGTGGGAGGCTGGACAATGGAGCAAGTGTTCGGTGACGTGCGGCAATGGTACGAGAACACGCGAGCTCCAATGTGTCCAAGAGATGTCGGATAAATTACAAGTGCGAGTGGAAAATGATCGATGCCCCGATGAACCACCTATGCCGATTCATCTGCAAGAAGTTTGTTACATGCCCGATTGCAATATTTACACGACTCCGGAACCCACCGACTCAACATACACAAAACAATATGACGTAGCGCCACAATGGAAAACGGAGAAATGGTCACCGGTAATAAAATGCGTTTCTTCAATTACGTTCAATCGCGTGTACCGATGGGTGGGAGGCTTAATTTGGAAGATGATGGTATTAATCCGTGAGATACGGGACAATGAGACAATTAGAGACGACGAGGGATTGCTATGACGTCAAAGTTTGCAATCTATCGTAACGTGAAAAGAGAGGTTATTCAACGACTACGGTCCACTATATTATTATTGAATGTCTGTCCGATAATAGTAGAAATGTGCAAATATTACGATGGATGGAGTAAGCACTTTGATATAACGCGTATCTTACGTGAATTGATATCATCAATGTCCATACTAGTTATAAAAAAAAAAAAAAAAAAAAAAAAAAATAATTCTTTAACGCATATAACGCGTCGCTCAAAAATCATAGGAACAATATGTTTAATAGTGTTCGACAACTTGCGGTAATGGTAAAAGGACGAGATTAGTGATTTGCGTCACCCTCGGGAGGACTTGTAATGCAAAATTCAAGCCATCGAGCGAAGAATTCTGCAATTTAAGTGATTGTAAGACTAAGCCTGCCAACGACAACGAGATTCCCGAAGCACTTATACAAAATTCCTGGATGTACAGTGCTTGGCCAGAACAGGTACAACGACAAGACTCATCTTCGTCGATAATTTTTATCATTACAGTATTCATTTATTTACCTACTAACTATTAATAATCCAATGATTATCCGGATTATCGTTGAATTTTTTTCGTAAAAGATTACGTTTCATAAATTATGAGCGCCGATCCCTTCTCTGTGGATCATTTGAAAAGACTTGTTGTATAATTCAATATTTACATTAAATTTCATAGTTTATACGTACTTAAAACTTATAAGAAGTTTCCCATTTAATTCCATAAGTATTTCAAAGTTCTATTATCACAGTTTGTTTGATATTATATTATCGCTATCAAATATTGATGATTATAATTCGTTTCATGGCTCTCTATAATTTTCTAATATTTTTCATATACGAAGAAGACAACAATGATCTTTTATGGTATATATATATATATATATATATATATATAACGTATGTAAGAGATGTAACGTATGTAACATATGTAACTTATGTGACATATGTAACATAGTATTTTTATTTTCCCGATATTTCATGAAAAACAAAAACATAACAAAAAAAAGTGATTTGTAGCATTGAATAAAAGAATATCGTCCATTTTAGTGTCCGGCTGAGTGTGGAACTGGTACTATGTCACGTAGGCTTTATTGTGAAAATTTTTTAAAAAATCAAACTTGCGATGAGAAGAAAATGCCTATTATCAACAGAACATGCGTTAGTAGTAGTCAGACATGCGGTCAGTGGTTCACCGGTCCTTGGACACAGGTTTGATTTAATAATATTTTGTCATCTGTTTTACATTATTGTTAAAATTATTTAACCATTTGATTGAAAAACTTTATTCTCATTATTCTAAATAAAATAAAATAAATAAAGTTACTCAACTTATTATTGAGAGTAATCTATCAAAGTATAATTCAAGTCCCACTTGGCAATGTGAAAATTGATTTTGTATCTTATCTTAAAATTAATAATGTACAATAACGGATGTTACGATGTTTATTTTTATAATAATGTGAAATGCCAATAATCACAAAAATCACCAATTATCAGTGCATTATTTCATACGATTTCATTCATTTAGTTTACGAAATTTATTAAGTCGGCCATTGGCGATATAATAATTATTAATAAAACTTCAGTGCTCGTCTTCTTGTGACATTGGTTTTGAAATAAGAGAAGTCGTATGTGTTTCCAAATTTTTGGGATCTTCGAAAGTTGTTGCCGCTACAAATTGTCCTTCGATAAAGCCAGAAACGATAAGAGAATGTATGGGTCCACCCTGCAATGCAACATGGTTTATGTCCGATTGGTCTCAGGTAAAAAAGTTTACAAACAATAACATTAGCGCTATTTAAAATAAATATTGATTCAATGTTTATATAATGGATGAAAGAAGAATTTTAATAAATTCAATCGTCAGAATTTTTTAACCTATGTATATTACATTTTTATCGTGTTTATGTTCGTACTATATAAATGATGCTTCTTCAATAATTTGAAGCTGGTTTGTTAAATATAAAAACTAATATTGGTAAAATAATATAATGACATAAGGAGCCGAGAGGCTTTTCAACAAATAGTCAAATGTAAATATTCAAATCTTAAAAATTGTAAATTTGATATAATCATGATATTTGCACTCGTCGAGCTTCTCGGCAAATCTATATAAACAATGACAATATATAAAACTCAATAACCCGAAGATTAACGTATGTAAATCATAACGATTATCCTCCCCGTTTAGTGCTCGAGAAGTTGTGGAAGAGGATTTCAAAAAAGGGAAGTTAAGTGCATTGGACCAGATGGTATGCCAATAAATGCAAGCGAATCGGAGTGTGACGAGGAAAATAGACCAGTGAATAGAAGGAATTGTAATCAGATTTCTTGTAATAGATCGAATATCGAAAAAACAAATTCACTTACATTCACAAAGAACGGCAATGATATTGGTAAAAACAAATACTTTTCATTTTAACTCGTATTAAAATTTTTGAAATATAATTAACGATAGATTAGAGTATAAAATGCTAATCTTATAGATTGTAAGAAAATGTCAATTTGTTTCATGCTTCATGTAAAATGTAAAATTGATGCAAATTGTCAATTATTGACGAATCGCAATTAATTATTATCTATTGACAATATTATATATCCTAGGCGCAATGTATGCACTTAACATTTAGAAACAAAAAAGAAAACTGACGATTATAATTTAGATTATTAATAAGATTATTATATTTTAAATGTGATTTTTATATTCATAAAATATTTGATAAGTAGAATTAGAAATAATATTAATTACGCTTGGATAACCTCTAGAGTCTTAGGTTATCGTTAGTTCATAAATTAGTCGCATAAATAAAATCTTTTTTAAAAATCAGATGAACTATTTTTTATTTTAGCAAATAAATTAGTCTACATTATGCACCACACCTTTTTAGATTATAATTATTGTAATTATGTGTAAGCCTCGTCGAGTCGTCGAAGCCAACATGGTATTTTAACATCCTAATAACCGATTAATTAAGATAAATAAAAGTAATTATATATATATAGTAAATTAGAGAGAGAGAGGAGAGAGGAGAGAGAGAGAGAGAGAGAGAGAGTTTACTGCTCTTTCCTGTAAAGAATTTTCATGTGGTTATTCTTCGTATTTCTATGTAATTGCAAATTTTTTATAAGTATTTCTATCAACTTTAAGAAACCCAAGGTTTCCCAATATATTTCAACGATACTTTCCACGTTCGCTTGTTTTGTATTAAATTTTCAAACGTTATATTCTATAATCACGCATCATTATTAATAAATAAACAATTTCATCTAATAGAAATTTTTATAGGAAATACACTATACAGACTTAGATTATTTACATTCAGTTCAACAAATTTAATAAACAAAATTTAATTTAATAATTTAATAAAAATAAACAAACAAATTTTCATTCGCGATTGATTACAACAACAACAAACAATTTAATTGCTACTACTACCCCTTTTCATTTTACTTATTAAACTTTTTTTCTCAAACTATAAATTCTCTAGCATTATCTCCAGCATCATTAAACACAATTGTTGAAATAAAATCATTATTTAATAATCTCTTGGGTATAAATTTTACAATAATGATCTTCAGTAAGTTTTTATAATTAAGACAGATTGATAATTAAAAGTCGTGTTTACTAATTGAAAAAAACAAAGAAAAAGAAAGAAAAAAAGAAAAAAGAAGCTTATGCTTTTAACAAAACTTTATTGCTAATAATCATGAAATGTGTTTCAGAAAATGAATGTTTGGATACATTCTCGGATTGCTCGATAATACGATATAAAGCTTCAGAATCAAAACGTAGATGTCAAATGGAAATTTATCAAAAAGGTTGTTGTAAAGCCTGTCGCTACTATGCTTTTTTAAGTTCTAACGGATAGCATAAACCGTAAATGGGAAAATATTTTCAACCAAATAGAAGTCGAGTATGATACAGATTTAAATTGGTATCGAACAACTTATAATAAGAAATTATAAACGCTTCACGTTCACTTCACTAAACTATCTCGCCTTTATAAACATCAAAACATTTATTACAAGTTTTTTCAATACATCCAGCAGTAATTAAAACATCAATAATTTCGTTTATATCCGATGAATATATTATTAAGGCATAATTTTATAAGATATTTTCGAAAATTTTTCTCAACCAATATAAATACATAAATAACCGTTAAGATAAAGTATTTTGGTAAAATTCTGTACTAATAATTCTGTGAAAATAGTAATTGTTGGGGATATGAAGTTCGGATGATTTAACGGTAAACAAATAATTTATAAGGATATCATCGATAGGAAAAATCTTTTTATAAGAGAATATCATAAGAAATACATAAATTGGTGAGAAATAATTGACCAATTGAATTATGATAAACATTTCAACGTAGATTTTAAGATATTAATATTATTCTAAATACCATTATTTATAAGGATAAATGAATATAACGAAAATTATCAATACTAAAAAAACTTTGTTTCCTAATAAGTTAATAAAAGAATTAATAAATTCTTTAAGACGGTATTTGTGTTTATTTTTGTTCTAATATTTTTTAAATATACGTAAACATCTTCACTCAAATTTGAGATTAAGATATTAATAAAAGTATTTTTTAATTAAATACGTAAAACTTAACTCTAACATATGTATTTATTAAATTATAAATAGTGTTTAATAATTTGTAATTATATATAAATAAAATAAATTGTACTTTTAAAGCAAATGTAATGTTACTGTCGCTAAATTTTATTATTAAATTATAATAATAATAAGCGTTTGGATTTCAATAATAATATGATCGATGTCATTCGGTGTCCCCATTAATCCTAAATAAGTCTAAAGTAATCCTAAATTTAATAAATCATCATAATAAAATGCACTTTATTTATAAATTAAATCAAATGCATTATCTATTTGGCATCGGGGCAATTATCTAAAGCAACAATAAATAGTCAATACGAACAATTGTTATATTCATGCACAATGCATGATTATCGATACATGTTTGAGCACTGACTAAACGACTAAAATAATTACTGTTTATAGATTAACTTTATAGATTTAAATATTTTGAAATGCAATTTTCTTTTTAATCAAATCAATATAAACAAAATCACAACGATATTATGAATTTTAAAACCGCTCGTTATTAGAGTAGGAAATTATTAGTGTAAAAATATTTTTATTTCGAGTGATTAAGGTAAATTCAATATTTAAATTTTTATAGAATTTTAAAATTCTTTATTTTTACAATTCAAGAGTTAAATTATAAATACAGTTATGTCAAATTGTAATATAATTGCATGAAAGTAAATGTTTATCATTTAATGCAACTTTGAATGTTGTTTGAAGTAAAAGATTTTCTTATTGTTATTTATTATTATAAATCCGCTACTAGTGTAATGATACTTTATAATTAAATTCTTACTTAATTATTAATTACGTCGATAATGCATTATGTGTGTTATTCTCCTTCAATAAACTAAAAACGGATACTTATTTTTTATTTAGATAATTTATACTATTATAGATATATATATATATATATATATATATATATATATATATATATATATATGTATCATCTGATAGCAATCTAGAATTATAATTTAGACTTATATATTCTTGACTAAATTTATCGATATAATATTAGTTCATAACACCGCTCTTAATTCATTAGTATAAAGCCTTATCTTCATTTTTTAATTTTTCTAAGAATTCTACTAATATAATTTTAATAATAATTTATATATATATATATATATATATATAAATGATTAGAAAGAGTGACGTATTGGCATTCGATTACACATAAAATAGTCTTTATATAAATACTATTAGGCTATATATGTCTTACTTTTAATGTAATTTTATAGATTTTTTAATAGTCACCGTTTAAAATTATTCATTGTTGGAGTTAGAAAGGACATTTTTGTTCACAAATAAGCTCTTATACATCTGTGACCAAATAATTTATGTAATTTTAATTCATATTAGCCGAGTATTATTGCAAAAGGTTTAATTGAAATTAATTCCAATGAAATAATCTGTCATATTAATACTACATTATTATGTTAAAACTGTAAAGAATACAATTTTTTATTTGGTGGACGTGAAAGAAATTTGTTGAGAAAAATTCTAAGAGAAAAATCTAAGAGAAAAAAGAAATAATTTAAAAGTTATTACATAAGTGTATAGTTTAATATTAAAAAAGTATTTATAATGAAAGGAAGATTAATTGCATTTTGCTAGAAGCTCTCAAGGACGATGAAAAATTAATTACTCTAGTAAATTTGGAGAAACATCGCGTGTAATATGCAATTTTATTTTATTTGCGCGTTAATAGATATTAAACATTTTTTAATGCACCAAACTAGAAAAATAATACAAAATGAAATGCAAGTTTCATAAATAAAATTTTTAATAATTTTGTAATTTTATTTTTTTCAATTGATTTTATTTTTCTCACTTAAAAATACTACGAACTTATTAGTTTTCTCAATTAGCTTAGCACAGTATCATACACTTTTATATAAACAAATACAGAAGAAAATATTTACGAAGAAAATATTTTCCGAATTTGTTGAATTAAATGAGTCATGTAATGAATAATTAATTACATAATAAATAATTGAATATCGTAAATTATATAAAGCTTAGAAAGCTTATACGATGTCAATCAACTGTCAAAATAAATCCTTATTCTACAAAGTATAACGATACTTGGAATTTTTGAGTTCCTTTAAATACTTCAATATTGTAAAATAAATATAATAAAACATATCATAAGCGCATGTACTGTTATTTAATCAATTCAACTGTGAATTCGAAAGTCTCGGCGAATGTTTTGCTGAATATTTATCGAGAGCGCGATGACTCAATAACCCACCCACCCTCCTTCTCGCCCTTACCATTGCCACTCAACCCTGGCCCAATCCGAAGAGGAAGCTGCACGATGTGACCGGCACGTCGGCACCATGAACACGACGTTGAAACTTTGTGAGAAAGCGTTACAGACACGTCGAAAGTGCTTTTAAATCCAAAAGTATCGACAATTTCGAATCTTCTTTATTTACTTTGAGTTAAATCCCAATGTAAAATAAATGGAAAATAAATACAAGGAAGATAAAGTAGAAAAGTACATTAAGACTGCTTTATCGCTGTATTATCCCTGGACATTTATTCGTATTATGTGAGCAAATTTTAATTAATCGCATCTGCATAGCTATATATAGCATATATATATATATATATATACGCTTGTACTCACACGTGATTACTTATTGGAATAATAAATTCGAATTTGTTTAAGCAATTAGTGAAAAAAGTACATTTATATATTTATATATTTATAATTAGTATATTTATATAAAGTATATTTATATGTTTGCCACAGTGACATATTGGCATAAGACTGTCGTTTATTTGTTTTTTTGCTTACGGTAAGTCTTATGGTAAATTGTAAGATCTCACCGAACAATGTAATTAGGTTTCTGCTGATTAACTTTTCCGATATTGCGAACAATTGTGAAAAATACGTGAAGTTGTTGTGTGGCAACCGAAGGAGCTCGTATTCTTATTTAGAATTATTTAGAATTTCAATGAAATTGATATTGGAGCTTCGTTTATTGCGATTTATCAACCTTTTAATGGAAAGATGAAGAAATAAATAATTCTTGGTTTCGATATTGTTTACCTTAAAAAACGAATAACCGACCAGCTTATCGAGCTTTTATACGTTTGTATTAAACGTTTATTTATAAAAATTGAATTTGATTATTGTCTGATTAATGCACTCGGGACAAATGATTCGCTGAATAATAGTTTTAGAGTGAATTGACATTTATAATAAATATGCTTCAATTGCATTAAATAGCTCGTACGTGCAGTTTTCGTATTTGAGATAAAGAAAGAAAATGATTTCTATTTTCTGTATTATAAGCATAAGATGATAAATGACAAATTGTTTGAATTTCATAAATGTAATATTGTATTATGTATAATAGCTTTTTTAAGTTTTTAGTTCAATGATTGCTGAATCATTGATGTTTAATTTGCACTTAATTATGTGTATTGAAGTCTTTTTGTCACATAAATATGAATTATTTTTGCATAATAAGTATCGAATTAAAGTGAAATTATATTACGGAAAAAATATAAAAAAGTGAATTGTACGCACACGCGCGCGCACGCATATTACACACATACACAGATATTGACGAAAATTATTTTTAAGATATTTTTCCATTTCATGTTAGTGCAGCATTCTGAAGAAAGATAATTTTTGTTATTTTATTATATAATTCTCATGAAGTATATATTCATCTGACTTTAAACTTTTTTACTTTTCTTTATATTCTTGAAATGGTTTCTCATATCTAATAGGATATTTCTTAAAAAACTTTAAGTTTTTAACTAAAAATAAATTGTTAATATATAATAGAAATCAATATGACTGCTCTAGTTTTATTGTAAAATATCGTTTTTAATTATCTTTTAACACTATTATATTAGTTGTCTGCCTTATTAATATTATAAATTTCATTTTCTACCCAAAGATGTCGCGGGATTCTCAAGTCGTCATGATAAATCAGAATTCTATGTTGAGTGTGATAACATGTAGTTTCTATTGTAAACGATTATATATTTTATTTATATTAGTTATAAAGTATTACAACGCACTGTAGTTGTATTACCAATTTTTGCATTTTTGATATATTTTTAATCGAACATAAATGACTTCATAAAACGAAGGGTCTTTATAAACAATAAAGTACAATGTCTCTTGATCAAACTGTTTGCGAAGGTGAATATTTTAAAGTATTTTTTAAATAAAAATTAATGACTGTTTCTGTGCCTTTGATAATGTAAATAGTTTATTGACAGCTGAATTCCGCAAACTTAGAGGTTATGTTGAATGTCATAATAATATAGACCACATTTATTTCTAGATTTAAAAGCGTTTGAAAGACGATTGACCGAAGTTATTTCAAGTTCGCAGCCAGCAACATTACGCTGGAGAAGTAAGTCCATTAATTATGTACATCATGAGATTTTGTAATTATTTTGCATTTTTATATTATGATAAATTGCATTCTTATACACAATTGACTTTTGCTTCCAATAATTCAATGTATTAGCATGAATTTTGATGATTAGATTTATCCAATTATCCATTATTTAAGCAAATAATCTCATCAAATGGTTACGTTAAACACTTTATACATTTTATTTAGTTATATTAGGATCTATTTCAATCTGCACAGCAATTGGCGCATGGTACTGGCTGACGGATCCCAATACTTCGGCAGTCCCATTCACACAGAGTTTGTGGAATCATCCGTTTTTCACAGTAGCTAGTTTTTTATTAGGTGCGTAAAGTTTATTACGTAGTAAAGAAATTGAATAAATTATTGTTAGATCCGTATTCAATTATGATCTATTACTTATAATATTAATGCAGTAGTTACTAAATCAAAATATGCGTGTAGTTTAATGTATCATAAAAAAACTTTTATACAATAAAGCGCTCGATAAATTTGTTTATTTAATTTACAAACATAACTTTATAATGTTTAAATTGATATTTTCAATTTAAAATCAAGTGTTATGCCAATTAATTGCATGAATTAATCAAGTAAAGTTTAAAATTATTTAAACTTTGAATTGTAATTAATAATTGTAATATAAAATTGTAATTGTTATAATGGTTTTTTACAGTAATATTATTCATGATGGGTATTCATCGAAGGGTCATTGCACCAAGTATTATAACTCAAAGAGCTCGAAATGTTTTAGGAGATTTCAATATGAGTTGTGACGATACAGGGAAACTGATTTTGAAGCCAACAAGGCCACCACATCTTCATGAAACTTGAAAATAACGACAGAGTTTGTTTATAGACAATAATGTACAGAAAGAATCTACAAATTCAGTGTTGGAAGTGTTAAAGTGTACGATATATTTATAGATTTTTTTTTATTACTTTTAGTGTATGTAATTATCGAGAGTTGTTTTAAAAAATGTAAGACACGATTTCCATTTACTCTTTTTTTTTTAAAGAGATGTGAAAGTTATGAAAAATAATTTTAATCAACCAGTTATTTTAATTAATTTAAATATATTTTTTTTAACAATTACAAAATTAATTTTATAAAGTTGAGAGAATAGTTATTACAAATATTTTTCCAATATATTTTTAATTACATGTCAATGCTGATGATTCTTTACGTTGTAATTGTTTGAAATTAGATGATATAGTGTTGAACACACTTGACAGTACGTATAGAAAATGTTAATTTAAGGTCATAAATTCACATCCTTTGAAAGTGTACAGATTTTATGGAAAATATTGTAATATAATTTAAAACTACTTTTAACATTTCTAAAGCAGTTTTAAAATGAACTTTCTTTTTTTTTTTATTTTATATATATATATAATAATTGATCGTTTTTTAACAAAGGAAAACATTTGCGTAACTGTTATATTGACATTTATACTTGCAAAGAAATGTCTAATGAGAAAGAATTTTTAAATCATTTTAATGTCAAGATTTTGACTTTAATTTATAAAACTTTGAGAAAAGTTGTATCTATAAAAAATATTTCTTATGTATCATAATAATAAAAATAAATTTGTATCAAATGAAATAATACATTTATATTTGTAAAATTGTATGTATTTATAAATAGTAAAATTGAATTTTGTTTAACTCTGTCGAAGCTTTCCTTTCAAAACCCATTATAAAAGTACAGTTGTAATACTCTTCTTCACGTTCAAAACATTTATTAATAAAAAAAAAAAAAAATTTGTTTCATTGTTTTCATATTACAATTTAGGCAATGTATAATTATAGATCTACTTTTAAAAAAATAGCACATTTACATATATGCAATATAACTTTGTCAGCCTACGTACAAGTAGGAAAAGAAAAAATAATGCATTTTTTTTTTTTTTTTTTTTTTTTTTTTAAATTCTTCCCTAATAGCTTTATGATCATATATGATTAAGACGAATATATTTACAAGATATTTTCGAAAAGTGTTAATATCCAAAAAGTAGAAATTACTGTGAAAAATAACAAAATATTTTAACACTTTGAAGGCTTATTAAAGGTTACATAGTAAGTGATTAGGCTTCCAATTGAATAAAAACTGATACGTATTAACATAACTGAATTACTGTAGCATATATTTATTGACATTTATAATTACTTCTTGAGAGAGGTAGTAATTGTAAATTATCCACATGCTAAATAAAATAAGCTCTCATAGAATCTTTCACATGAAAAATTTCTCTTTTAAATCAATTTTCATTATATATTTTACAGAAACCGAGCAGTTTCTTCAGATTACTTCATGTCTCCTTCTAGGCGCTTAACGAAGGCTTATATTTTAACGATGGTGAAGTCTTTAAATAGTCGATTTTTATTAAATATATACCGTTGATTTATGCCTGTGTATTCTTGTGCAACACGTACTCGGATAATTCTCGTCGTGTTTAATATCCATAACGTACAATTATAAATCTAGATCCAATCGCAGGATCAACTTTTGTTAAAAAACGTCTCATTTATGTCAGCAATAAAATTATATCCCGTATAGTTTCATTTTGTTTTATAAAAATTCGTTCGTGTCCAGTCTTACGCGTGCTAGAGGAAGGACAACAATTAATTCTCATAGTATCGACTAACATCACAAAACTAGGAAACCTCACATTTGTGAAGTTAAAGTTCAATTGGTCATTCTTGATTACACGTACTGGCTTAGTGGTGCAAAGAGAAAAGATCTCCTGCTGACGGCAAAGGAGCAAGTCCACCCGTGACATCTGGCAATTGTGTCAAATCAGGAAGATTAGAAATGTGAGATTTTACTTCTGCTCGCACAGTGCAAATCTTTTTCAACTTCTCTTTGTAGTCCTACAACCAAAAATATATATATTATTAATAAAGGTTACATTCACAAAGTAATGTTATTATAACATCTCGTGCTTCGTTTCAAATTCATTCAAATTTAAGTATTTTATAAGTTGGAGCTAATATTTATATTATTATCGAATGAAAAGACTGCCTCGATAGAATATTAATGCATACGGCTAATAATCACAATGAAATTGTCAATAACTAATTCCAACTTTGAGCTTACTTTTACAGTTTTAAAAGAGCAAGAAGCTTGCGCGAGGGTATTAAATTAAATTAATATCAAAATCTCTGGTACCTCTAGTGTTGTTTGAGCTTGTTGAAGTAGTTGACGCTGTGCTACCGTATAATCCCTAAGCATCGTTAAGAGTCGTCTCCTGTCTTCCATTTCAGCCTGTAGTCTACCATTATAATCGGCAAGCAAAGCTGCTGCCTCGTTTACAGCGACGCTTAGTTGGTCGGCAGCTGTGCGATCAGCTAAATTTGCGAGAAGAGACACCTCGGATACTTCGGGTGGTAGAGATGCTATTCGCTCTCTTACTGGAGCATCGGATGATGCTGTATTTTCTAATTCCTATAATTGATATTGTAAAATATCGATTATTCTTTAATCATATTCAATGTGTAATTTTAATTTTTTTAATACTTATTTTTTTTTGCCTGTATAGTTAATTAATTAAAGTTAAAAATTTACTTGAAATTATCGTTCGTTAAATAATGGTCATTGGTACTTTGGACTGATAGATGCCACGAGTACGCAGATTAATTAATAATTAGTATAAGGATAAGAGTAGATTAAATTGTAAATGTGAATAGGAAAACTGAGAAGAGTAGTTCAAAGATGTTTTTCCTAACAAATTTAACATGTATTTTTCCATAATAAACATGTTTTATTTGTATTTGTACAAAATCTATATTATATATTAAGATAAAAATTCCATTAACCATTAAGGCTTTGATGAGTTCTTCAGTTTCTGGTGGATCACCACCCGGTGTATGAGGACTTAATGTCACATGTAATTCTTTGGTACCATCCACTTCAACTTCAGTCTCTGATTTTTTCCTCTCCTTTTTCTCCTTCTGTAAAATAATTTTGAACCGTTGATATATACACTTAACGATATATTCATTGTGCGCTATTATACATAATTTTTAAAAATTTATACAATACACATTCTCTTTTCTCTTGGAAATATTCATACAATTAGTATCTTAGTTCTTTATAAGAATAATACGTTTCTCAAATGTAAAAAAAAATTTCGTTTATTTTATCCTGATAAATAACTAAAAAATACCTTTTCATTTTCAACTCTAGGCTTTTTTTTAGGTGGAGGTGTTCCAGGGTCTTTGATAAGTTCAGAAGAGGAATTAAAAGACGCTTTAAATTCGCTTATTTGCAATTTATCGTAAACACCTCTCTCTTCCCAAATATTTATTAGCCTACCCAGTTTTTCTCTTGTTTTTTCATCAAAGCGTTTCATGTGGTCAAATGCTTTTGGTAATACCGTTTCAAACTCTTTACCAAATTCTGGACCTTTCTTCTTGCTATTTTGTATAACATCGTTTGCCAAATACATAAACATTAATTTACGATTATCCTTGGCTGAAACATAAAATGAAATAAGTAAGTATATCGAATGTATATTATTATTTTTATTAAAAATGCCTCTTAAAACATAAGTAATATGAGTAATATGGTGGATATGTTTATCGTTCTAATCTTATCAATGTAAATATAATACAACGACACTCTCAGGGGATAAAAATTTTGAAGGGAAATAATTTTTTTTTACAAGAGAGAAAAAGGAATGAATTTATAAGTCAAACTTGAAAATATTTTTATCTTTCTCAAATAATAAATGATTATATTAATATTATATGTGCATGTAAATATATATATATATATATATTTTTTTTTTTTTTTTTTTTTTTTTTTTTTTTTTTTAAACATACACACAAATGTATATATTTCCATATAATATCAATTATATGGACTAGCGTGTAACGTACCACGCGCGCGCACACATCCAAAAAAAAAAAAAAAACTATATATATATATATATGCATGCCGATACATGCGCATCTATATCATGAACGCACAAGCGAGGGCGCGCGATCTATACAAAATTTATAGACATTCGATGCATGTGCATATAATGACAAATATAAAAATACAATTCGCTTAAAAATTGCAGTATACCGTGGTCGAATAACGATTAGTTATTATACAATGTGCATGCATAAACTTTTCCGCATAAACATATAAATGTACAATTTCAGAGTACACAGGGAGAGGTAAATATTTAAAATCTATATCCTTTATTCGCGTAAACATAAAATTCACAAATCACAGGCATAATAATGATAATTTGATCGAAGCACTGTAAGCATAACATTGAAAAGCGCATAAATATTCAGCACATACATGAAGTAAGAACGTAAGTAACTTTGTTATAACCTAAAAGAAGCAAACTTCATCGTTCGGTTCTATAAACGTGTTTTGGACGTACACATTCGCGTACATCAAATAAACGTTATAAAAATCCTAAAGCTTTAGTTAACTAGGACGATAATAATAATAATAATAATAATAATAATAATAATAATAATAATAATAATAATAATGCCGAATGGATAAAGAAGCATGTCGTCGTCGTCGTCGTCGTCGTCGTCGTCGTCGTCGTCGTCGTCGTCGTCGTCGTCGTCGTCGTCGTCGTCGTCGTCGTCGTCGTCGTCGTCGTCGTCGTCGTCGTCGTCGTCGTCGTCGTCGTCGTCGTCGTCGTCGTCGTCGTCGTCGTCGTCGTCGTCGTCGTCGTCGTCGTCGTCGTCGTCGTCGTCGTCGTCGTCGTCGTCGTCGTCGTCGTCGTCGTCGTCGTCGTCGTCGTCGTCGTCGTCGTCGTCGTCGTCGTCGTCGTCGTCGTCGTCGTCGTCGTCGTCGTCGTCGTCGTCGTCGTCGTCGTCGTCGTCGTCGTCGTCGTCGTCGTCGTCGTCGTCGTCGTCGTCGTCGTCGTCGTCGTCGTCGTCGTCGTCGTCGTCGTCGTCGTCGTCGTCGTCGTCGTCGTCGTCGTCGTCGTCGTCGTCGTCGTCGTCGTCGTCGTCGTCGTCGTCGTCGTCGTCGTCGTCGTCGTCGTCGTCGTCGTATGGATAAAGAAGCATGTCGTCGTCGTCGTCGTCGTCGTCGTCGTCGTCGTCGTCGTCGTCGTCGTCGTCGTCGTCGTCGTCGTCGTCGTCGTCGTCGTCGTCGTCGTCGTCGTCGTCGTCATCGTCGTCGTCGTCGTTGTCCACTTACATTTACAAAGCTCCTTAAACCAAACTTTGACGATGGTCGAATGGTGCTTTCTGTGATGTATTAACCACAACGACAGTGTTTGGATACTCTGCTGCGAAGGATTGAGCTCCATTAGCTTTTTCACGAGCGCGCTCTCCGTGAAACCGGCCATTTCTCCTTATCGTTATAAGCTACTGATCTTCGCACCAGTGCGAAGAGGAATAATTGCCCGCGGCACTCGAGTGAGCCGAAAAGCTAGTTTTCAACGATGCTCCTCCCGTGTCTGGTTTGTTGTCTTCGTCACCGTCGTAATAACACACTACTTTCTTCACTGAACCACGGTCGTGTACTCGTGTACGACCGCCGCGCACTAACGAAATATGTTTATTCGACGACAGCGTAGCGGCGAATGTCACGAGTCATGATTATATAGAATGATCGTGACAATATCTGGGCAGCGCGGTAGTTTTTGTTCTACGAGATATTTTGCCGTTGCGCTGCTACCGCATGGCACCGTAGCGCCATAGTGCCGCTTAACCTCTGTTGCTCCCTCAACTTAAACGCTGCCAACCCAAGTGTTGTAAGTCTAACCGGGCGGTTGATGGGCTACGAAAGCAGCTAAATAAACGCTTCGACCTTTAGCCCGGCGGTTAGGCGAGCGTTTGGCGGTTGATCGCGAGGGGAATATGGGCGCACATATTTTCATTTGTTAATATTCTATCACGTAACGTTGAATGTAAATGGGCTTTGGGGCTTTTAGTTAGGACGTGTCAGTTGGAGCCGTGGAGAAGGAGCCATGGAGCGGCGAATTTCGCATTCAAGGAGCAATGATAAGTTGGCTCGCGACACATAATACGACCAATGATGATTTTCAGCTGAATTTTCGACTTGGCACTTTTGCCTTCTATCACCAACCCGACGATAATTACACAATTTACGATCTTAGGCCGTTGTGGCGCGAAAACTTGAAATCACCAATTATCAGTGCGGGTAATTCCCATTGCCGTCCAATAAAATCGGGGCTTCTCTAATTACGGATATTCCGCGTAATCGTACGATTTCAAATTACTCTTTAATTGCCGTTTAATTGATTCGGTGCGGTGATAATTAATTTGTTTTTAAACGCCCCCTCATTGCAAATTCATCGAATAATATTTCCGGCTATCCGATTTTTCCACGAACAACAAACAATAATAACAATAACAATAAGCGTAATAACAACAACGACGACAGTTGTAACAATAGTAGTGATGGTCGTCGCAACGACGATGATCACGATAAACAGTTATGCGCTAATAGCTGGATACGCCTAATTGAATAGTCGATTAGTGGTGTCATTTGACTCGCTCAGACGTTATGTTTATACTTGTCGTTAATTATAAGACGCAATTCCAGCGTATCCTTTAAATTCAATCTTATTAAATGAAAATCGTAATTGTAGGTTGTAAGTGATTTTTAAATGCACGATGCCTACCATCGGCAAGAAAACAAAATTTCAAAAGCGCAAACGGCGAAAAATGGAAAATTGTGTTTCTCGGGATGCCGCTCGCATCTTCCGGCAGCACCGGAGTCCAATGGACTCTTTTCCGGTTGGGGCAACAAAATGACTGGCTTCAGTGAAAAGGTTTGTGATGCAATTTTCGTATTTTATATTGGTTTTGGCGTGTGCAGCTTAGCGATTTGCGATGCCGAATAATACCAATTGCGTGGAAGAATCGCGACTTTAATTTAATCTTTGTGGGAAATCCCGATTCGATGCGTCCAAAGTGTTAGAAAGGTTGGAGTGTCGATATTATTATTTCACACGTGTTTTGCAAACAGATTTTAATTATTCTAGTTAAACAGATGTGCATGTACGTCGTAACAATATCTTTATAATTAGAGAAATAATCTTTTATTGCTTTTGGCACTTTTTTTTCCTTCTTAAATATCGTTGCTTTAAAAATAACCTCATTCGCAAAGGTTGACGTTGTAACATACACGTGGTTCGCGTGTTTTATTATTTACTTCCAATGTGGTTCGGTAGAAGATATATTTTTATTAACGCCTATCGATGTAATTTTATACTTTGTGTCAGGATAATTAATGCAATGTTTGTTTTGTTACAGCCGATTCTGATCGATGGTCGCGGTCATCTACTTGGTCGCTTGGCCGCGATTATTGCCAAAACTATTTTGCAAGGAAACAGAGTTATTGTTGTACGATGTGAACAATTGAATATTTCTGGAAATTTTTTTAGGTAAACGACTTATAATTCTTACCGTTTGTTGCTAGTGTATTGTTATTTTGTAGTTTGTATTAAAAGTTGTGAAATATTAGCTTGGGCCTAGTTTTTTTTTTTTTTTTTTTTTTTTTTTTTTTTTTTTTTTTTTTTTTTTTTCATAGATTTTTTTATTGTTGTTATCATTCTTTTTTTTTTTTTTTTTTTTTTTTTTTTTTTTTTTTTTTTTTTTTTAATAGAACTTTTTAATCGAGTTATAAATATTGTAATTAGTATAATATTAATATTGTTTAAGATTTATCGTTACATTATTACTAAAGTTTAGCGTGACTGAGAAGCCTTTCTACTATTGGAGACTTTTTTGCTCTCGTGAGGAGCAGTACATATTGTTATACTTATAATTATTGGACATACTATAAAGGTTGAATGTATGCAAACAAACAATTAATAATGGCTTATGGGGTTTAGTCTGTTGTAGATTTTTTTTTGCTTCTTTTGAAATAACAGTGTGTCATGCATCTGCTTTGATAACTTATGATAGATTTGCCTTTAATATATTTGAATATAGTTTGAATACTTTATCAATATATTTCTATGATTATTATAACACTTACCTACATTATTTGAGTAATTGTGAAAATTATACATTGTATGAAGCTTCTATATGCTAAAAATTAACATCTCTGATTGCCATAATATTATTCAATGAGATATTTTATTTTAGAAATAAGCTGAAGTTTATGTCTTTCCTTCGTAAGAGATGTAATGTTAATCCTGCTCGTGGTCCTTTCCATTTTCGTGCACCAAGCAAGATTCTTTGGAAAACAGTTCGAGGTATGTATTCGATAATTAAAATTTTTCACTTTGCCGCTAATATTATTCAATGATTACCTTTTTACCTACATTATATGATTTTAATGTGAACAGAAATGCGAATGAGATTTAATTAATTTCAATTTAACGCTATATGTAAATTATTTCCTCCTGCTTAAATTACATATTTATAAATTGATGTATTTTTAATAGGAATGATTCCGCACAAGACACAAAGGGGCAAGGATGCTCTTAGAAGACTAAAAACATACGAAGGTTGCCCTCCACCATATGACAGGAGAAAACGTGTTGTTGTACCTGGTGCAATGAGAGTTATGTGCCTGAAACCAGGCAGAAAGGTGAGAATAATTTATCTTATTTAATCGAAGATTTTTTAATTAAAAATATGCACAGTGATGTTATGGTAATTTGCGCCTGAATGTTGATAAATAATCAAATTGATGATAATTTAAGCTGAGTTTATATTTTAAGTTCATGAAAATGTACTCATTTACAAATGTAAATTATTTGACAAAATATTTCATTTGATTTGTGTAGTACTGTCATGTTGGACGTCTGTCACATGAAGTGGGATGGAAGTACAAAGCAGTTGTTCGTACTCTTGAGAATAAGAGAAGAGTTAAGTCTATTATGGAAGTGAAAAAGAGGGACAAACTTAAGGTAGTTATCGATACTGTATGGCCTACTATCTTTGGATCGAACTATTTAGTAACGATTATACGTTTATTTTTGCAGAAACTTACTAAACAAGCAGGTGAAGCAGTTGCAAAACAAACAGCACCGTACACGCGAATTATTAACAGCTTTGGATATAATTAAGTTCTTGTTATAAGGATAATAAAAAGCCTTATTAACATTATAAAACGTTTTTTTTTTTTTATTATAAAGTATTTTTAAGAATATTTTATTAAAAGTTTACACATTTCTTTTATTTATAAAACAACCTTAAATATAAACTTATTCCTTAATAAATAACAGTGAAACAAATCAGTTATAAAAATATTTAAAAATCGGTTTATTTAATGAGGTAATTCAATGCTTTATAAATTAATCTCTTCATAATACTATATATACAATATAAATTAACTAAGTTTAAATATTGTAGCTAACTTTCTATGGTATCTACAGTAAAAAGCACAGTTCCACCTTTATCGTTGTCTTCATCGTCGTGAACTTCTGGATAACTTTCCTCATCTTCTGAACTGGATGAATTAAAGTCTTTTGTATTCTGTATTCGATAGTTTCCTGCTCTGCCTGATAAGTCGCCGACTTTGTACATTCCAATATGTTGAGTTAAACGTTCTACGGCATTCTTCGCCTGGATATTCTGATATTAGACAAAATTAAAAGAAAATAATTATGTACTTGCAACTGAGAAGCTTAAAAATAACTGAAAATATCTTATTTAGAAATCATAATCGACTATTACCTGTAGTTTTAGAGCTTGTTCCTTCTGTAACATCAAAGATTCATTGAGATTTAGTGTTTTAATAGCACCATGAACAATGAGTGGTGGTGTGGCTGCAGTTATTTCCCAATGTGCCTTTTTCTTATTTTCTCTCTGTTTTTCCTTATCAGGATCATGTACATTCGTTTTTGTTGTTTTATATGGCTTAAACGGTTCTTTCTTGTTTTCATGATCAGAACATTCTACTTTATTTAAGATAAAGTTAACGTGCTCTGATTTTAAGGAATTTAATGTTTTAAAAGAATCTATATCCTCCAAGTCTTCTGGTTTTATTAAATTTTCTTCTGGGCCTATATGAATGATTTTCTTTTTATGAGTACCACTTCCGGTTGGCTACAAAAATTATTTTAATTCATTAAGAATTACTATAAATTGAGAATTCAAGAAAATGCTAACATCAACCTGAGCAAGTATTTTTAAGGCATCATCTTCGTCGTCGCTATCTAGTTCAACAATTTTTTGTTCATAACGTATTGGTTTTTCGGTATACTTTCCAGTCCATTCTAATTCATCCATAGCTGCTTTTCCCTCTGTAGCAATATTGAGTCTAGACAGTAGTTTAGCAGCATCCTCGACTTTATTTCGATGCTCAATTTCCTGCATAATTTTGTGCTTAAAATTCAGAATTTTTTCTCCTTTATCTGGAAGTTTTGAGATGAATGATCTACAAATAGTTACATGTATATATTAGTTATGATGCTATGAAAGAATTAATGCACCAATCTTATGAAATATGATTTTCACATAAATATATTAAAAAATTGTGCAAAATAATACATTAGAAGACTTAAAAAAAAAAAGTTATTAATTATGAACTTAATAATCGTAATAAGAATAAATTTTGTAAAAAATATTAAATAAAAATTCGATTTTCTGTTAAGATTTATTTATGTCAAATTTAATTTTATTCAAAAGAAATATCGATTTACGTTTATTTTATATATTAACATTTTAAATAATTGATGAATAATTTTTTTTTTCAATTTTTTTATCGAAACATTTATATATGTTTATATGTATATATTATAAATCGGTATGACTGAAATATGATTAATTCTAATGAAATACATTTAATCAATATAAAGTTTTATTAGACATTCCTTTATGTAAATTATTAATTATAACAATTTGTTTAAATATTTATTTCATCTACAATATTAGACTTTTACTTTCTTTTCTTTTTTTTCTTTTGTATTACCCAATGTATAAATTAACCAACTTTTAATATTACATAAATATTAATCCTATGAAACATTTGATTAATCTAATTGATAGTGAATTTTCATTAGACTGGTACAAAGCTCGTGCATTTTGAATAATTGAATGTTTTAATATACTTATTAGCAAGCTTCTCTTGTCTTTCTAAAAGTTCTAATAATTCAAATTTTTGTTTTTTCTGCAAATCATCAATATATCCTTGACTTGATTTTTTAGGCAATGGAATTATTTCTCCAGGTATTTTCTTGATGACCGATTTATCAATGTTCATTATTCTGTTTATTTATAAATACAATAAATTACATAAATATAATTATAAATAGTTGTATATATTTTTTAGTAATAAATTAATTGAAAATCAATATAACATGTCAGTATTATTTTAATTGATATATAATAACGATAATAATGGCCATCTCTTATGCAAATAAAATTATTTTATGTTATAAGATATTTAAAAGATAAGTTTTTATTCTTCGTATTACATATTTATATTTTAATATATACAAAATTAATAAAATTGAATTTATAGTTCTCTTATATTAGTAAATCATCAATATTTTTATAATCAGTAACATTAAATGAGGTTTATATTTCAGAAAATTTGTTTTTAACAAAATGGTATCTATTATATAAATAATATTTTTTTTTTCACCGCTCAAGTAAGAGTTTAAACATTGAATAAGTTAATAAAAAAAAAAAAAAAAAAAAAAAAAAAAAAAAAAAAAAAAAAAAAAAAAAAATATACATATAAATATATAACCTTAATTAATATTTTTAATAAACATATTAAATAAATAGCGAATAAAATAAAGATTTTTAAATGAGATGTAATTGATTATAAAACTTGTAGAATCCAAAAAATTTCTTAGTCATTATAAAAATTAAACACTATTTGATTGAGGTATAGGAATAAAAAATTATAACATAACTGTCCACATAAAAAATCTTTTGAATTATACATACTATAAATTAATAAAAATTTTCATACTCTTATGTTTTTAATGTTTTTTACGAATTTTCCGTATAGTTGAATTGTTTAAAATTATTACAATTATTACAATATAACAAATTACAGTTAAACTTTTATTACTATTAATATTAAGTGTTCATTTCTTGAATAATAATTTTCTAACCTATTATTTACTATTCATAATATAGAACTGACGAAGTCATTGAATATTAATCAAATTACAAAAAAGTTTTAAACATCGGATAATTAATTATATGATAAACAATGGAGTGAATTGGGCCTGGATGAATTATATATGGAGTGAAATTATACATTTTATTATAAATAATAAGAAACTTGTTAGAATTTACAAAAAGCAGAAAACGGATTGTACGGATTGTTTTGAATTTCAATTGGTTATTAATGATTTATTGCATAACGGTAAATTATTATCGTTCGTTGCGTCACTTATCATAACAATATATTATTTTTAATTACTCTAATATGTATCTAATAAAGTATCCAGAGCATGAATTTCTTTATGCGCATGCGCTAACACGCACGAGATGACCATTTTTTATTTATCAGAAAATTATTTAATTTACCATTGCATATAAGCATGCTTTTTGTTTACTTTATGTTTAGTCTTACGTATACATACCAATTTTTAAATGCAAACGTACACTCTTTTATCCGTAAAATTAATTTTATACCAACATTATCATAAAAATACTCAACTATCAACAATTAATGATTTTTTATTTGCCAATACGGCCACCAAAAGCCATTATCCGCTATTCGAAACTCGAGTATTGTAAACTTCTTACATCTTGGCTCTCAGAGTCCCAAGACTCCAAATGGACAATAGTCCGTACTCCTAAATAATTAAATCGAGCCCATTCACTTGAACCCTTAAGGGTTTAGGGCCTTAAGGGCGTCATTTATGTAAGCGATGAGCGTTGCGGCTAATTGAACGCTATGGTGGTGGCGTTGGTGTCACTACTTTCATGTAGTCGTAAAGATAAAGTAAAGCAAATTGATGCTGGTTTTGCAAGGCTTGTTACAAAATAATTGATAAAAAGTGCGAAGATGCCGGTCCAAGAGGTTGGAGTTTCACAACCGGCTACTCCGGAAACTGAGGATACTCCAGTACCATCCTCGCAGCCCGTCGTTGGCATTATTTATCCTCCACCGGAGGTTAGAAGTATCCTTGACTAGTTACTAGTGCACTGCGGTGCTTAGTTAAAATGTAACAAACAAATTATTACACGATATATAACATATTAGTAGGATAAAACATTATTTTCAGATAAGCACATGGTAAAGGCCGTCTCTCATTAATTAAATACAATTTAATTCTGCGTTAGGTTGGAATGTGAATTGAAATCTATTAATATTTAAGCAATTTATTATCTATTTATTCGATTAATATTGTGTTTTATTATTTATGTTATGATAATGTAATAATGGATAAAATGCTTTAAAGGCATTAATTGCAAAAGGTATCGTTTACACTTTCCATTGACAGTTATTGAGAATATTATGATTTTCCTTAAATGACAAATAGACATTGTCGACAAGACTGCTAGTTTTGTTGCCAGAAATGGCCCCGAATTCGAATCCAGAATTCGACAAAATGAATTGGGAAATCCAAAATTCAATTTTTTGAACGTGGGTGATCCATACCATACGTATTATCAACATAAAGTTAAGGAATTTAAGGAAGGAAAAGGACAGGAACCAACTTTTGGTGGACCGACAAAAGGAGTTAATTTAGTGGCCCATCAAAAGCAACAAGAGATTCTTAAACAAGTGGAGCAACCGTTTATTCCAAAAGATCCTCCGGGTGAATTTGAGTTTGTTGCTGACCCACCGTCTATTTCCGCCTTGGATTTGTATGTTTTATTTATAAAAGTATAAAATTATAATTTGTAATTCTATGTTAAGAGTATATTCAAATTGTTTATTAACAATGTTTAGAGATATAGTGAAATTGACGGCGCAATTTGTGGCACGTAACGGTCGTCAATTTTTAACATATTTAATGAACAGAGAGCAAAGGAATTTTCAATTTGATTTTTTAAGACCTCAACATTCGCTATTTCAATATTTTACAAAACTATTGGAACAGTACACAAAGGTTTGTAATTGTCGTGTAATAAAAAGTATGTACTTTATTATCCGTTATTGTTTTAATTAGGTATTGATTCCACCAAAAGATTTAATATCAAAACTTAAGAATGAAGCCTTTAATATGGATAAGATTTTCGAACAAGTTAAATATCGAGCAGAGTGGCTTAAATATCAAGATGCACAGAAACGCAAGGAAGAAGAAGAGTTGAAACGCGAAAGAGTAGCGTATGCTCAAATTGATTGGCATGATTTTGTTGTAGTAGAAACTGTAGATTATCAGCAATTTGAAGTTGGTAATTTTCCAGCACCAACGACACCCGACGAAGTCGGTGCAAGAGTCCTTATGCAGGTATGTGTAACAAAGCCAAAAACAATTCGCATAAATAGTATGGCTATAATAATAATGATGACGTGTTGAGGATTCTCACAATATTCAGAAAATAATATATTCTACATGATATATTTTAATTAGTTTCTTGGACCACCTAGTGCCTTTTATTTTCCATTTATTTAATTAATAACTTTACGTATACCGTGAGAATAGTGTCTCTGTTGTTTTCCTTCATATTTTACAATTATGTTAGATTCTACAACAGTTGGACAACTTAAGTAGGAAGATTTGATTGTATTTAGTTTCTTATCCATTATTTTAAGACTTTTTAAGATCATAATTTGACACTGTATTGGGTAAGCAAGACTACTTATTGAAACAGATGGTGGCAAAATTTTTGTCTAACTATGCCGAATACTATATTTTGGTGTTGATCCTGATCTTTGTTGTAATAATATAATAATCTGTTATTCTGAAAATATTAAAAGCAATTCTACCGTTTTCACATATATTTATAATATATGTTTCTTCTTCCTTCTTACATTTCATATAGATAACTAACAGTTACTACATTCACTATATCTTCAATAATTTAAAGTACATTGTAAGATACAAAATTACTAAAATACAAAAAATTAATATTTCAATCTTCATTTATAAATAGCAACTAATAGCATTACATTCTATAGATAATTTGTTATATTATTCTCGTTACGATTTATTCATTATTTTTATCGAGCTCCGCGCTTATTTACTGATGGAAAAATAATTCCGTATACCATTAACGGGCTATAAAACTACAAAATTCATTAATATTATTTCATTGGATTTATACAAATAATATTTTTTAATATGTACAGGTCACTTGTTGCTTATGGTTTCTATAAATTTTTATATTTTGCGCGCCTTTAAGTCCATACAAAGTATTGAAATAAATAATTTAAAATAATATTAATGTTTCCTAACTTTCAACTGTTTTGTTCAAGTAATATTAAAATAGCATATGTAATTTAAATATCAGGAGCGCATCGAGGATGGCGAAGAGGTTGAGATGCAAATTGAAAGCGATGGCGAAGACGAAATGCTGTCACGTATGGAAGGGGAGAAAGATCGCGCTAAGGATAATAATCAAGTCCAGGACATGGAAGAAGACTCTAGTGACGAAGAAGAGGTCTCACCACCTGGTGAATTGCAGAAGAAAGACAAGTCACGTGACAACAGTATGCAGCCACCACCTTTACCTCCGACTCCAGGAAATGTCGTTGTCAAAAAGGGTTACGATCCAAAACAGCACGGTAAGTCATCTCTTTGTTTTTTAAATAATTTCAACAATTTTAATTTATGAAAGCGTTGCGTTTGATCTTCCACAGCCGCGAAAGTGTCGAGACCAACGGCTCCGGACGAGTATCTCGTCTCGCCAATCACGGGTGAGCGTATACCGGCGAGTAAAGTGCAGGAGCACATGCGCATCGGGCTACTGGATCCGCGCTGGGTCGAGCAGCGCGATAAACACCTGGACAAGCTTGCCCAGGAGACGGTATTCGCCCCGGGTACCGCCATCGAGGCGAGTCTCAAGCAGCTCGCCGAGCGTCGTACCGATATTTTCGGTGTCGGCGACGAGGAAACGGCCATTGGTAAGAAAATCGGCGAGGAGGATAAGAAGAAGGATGACAAGGTCACCTGGGACGGGCACACGTCGAGCGTCGAGGCCGCGACGAGGGCTGCGAGGGCCAACATTACGCTGGAAGAGCAAATCCATCAGATTCACAAGGTATGCTTTGCGAAGGAGGCTATTTCACAGCGATTAGCGCTCGTATTAATTGATTTACTTTTATCGAAGCAATTTTCATGTAGATCATTGATGAGTAAAATATGAATAACGAACGATTTATGCGACGTAAACTTGCCATCCAATATCCGGTCATTGCTTTTATGCTACTTGCTATTGTTGTCATATATAATACGTAGGAATTTTTTTCTTATTCTTCTATTATGTGCTGAAATTCTCTAAAGAGTTGTTATTTGCCTTGTAAAGGTCAAAGGATTGTTGCCCGACGAGGAGAAGGAGAAGATCGGTCCAAAACCCGCAAGTCGAGCAGCAGAATTGTCGCACATGGCGGCTGTGGCATCCAAGCCTCAAGCGACGTTGAAAGCGCCACCGAAGCCACCGGTACCAAAACCTATACCTCAGGTACAACCAACGCAGCCTCCGCCACCACCGCAGATGACAATGCCAACAATGGGAATACCACAGCCAATGATGCCACAACCTCCAATGATGATGATGGCACCTATGCCATCAATAAGACCTCCTCCAACATTACTACGTACATTTCAGATAATTTATTTATACAGTTCGCCATTTGCCTATTTAATTACAATTCGTGTGTAATTATAATTATCATTTGCTAATAAATCATTAGACGTCCGATTTAATCCATTATACAGTACAAATTGCACTATCGTTTTTTGCTCGATAGAAAATTTATCCTTCGTTTACTCACTGATTTACAAAATTACATATTCATAACAGTACATAATTATGTTCAAATAATTTGGTATTAATTCTACCTAATAATATTGTAATAAAATTACTTGTAATCTTATAGCTCCAACAATGTCTCCGTTTATGCCCACACCGCCACCGATACAACCTCCCATGCCACCTCAAGTAAGATTTTACAATAAAGTAATCTTTTTATTTAGTGTGCAATTTGTGCTCGTTAATTGTAATCGAATAATTTGTAGATGAGCATGAAGCATCCATCGGATGGTATGGACGATGAACCACATGCGAAGAAACTCCGTACGGAAGATTCATTGATTCCTGAACAGCAGTTCTTGGCTAGAAATAAGGTAAACCGTCGATTAATTGATAGAGAACACGTAATTCTTATATTTTTTCATTACATCTGTTATTATAGCTTTAACAGCAAGTTTTTACGTTTAATGAATACTTTATAATGCCCATAGGCTCCGGTACAGATAAACATTGCCGTGCCATTGATGACTGAAAAGGCCGAATGGAAGCTTAACGGTCAAGCTTTGACCATTACATTGCAAATCACCGATTCGGTATCGACAATGAAAGCACGTATTCACGAACATACGGGTATGCCACCGGGTAAACAAAAGTTGCAGTACGAGGTAATTAGACATTGATTTTCTTAAATTTAAATAACAATAGACTAATGAAATAATTTATATTAATTTATTTTAGGGAATGTTCTTTAAAGATAATAATACCCTTGCCTATTATAATTTGACGTCAGGAAGTATTATTAATCTTCTACCGAAAGAACGAGGAGGCCGAAAGAAGTAAACCATTAATTTAATTTAAATCACTTATAGTACATGGAACTTGTTTTTATTAATGTACTTTAAATAAAAGATAATTATGAATTGTAATACTCTTTGAAATAAATTTCATTTACTTCTAAAATAATTTAATTTCCGTTTATATATAAAAAGTATATCGTTTATTAAAAGAAAATTCATTTATTTATAATTATAGTATAAAATGGTAATATTGGCTTTGCCGATTAGTCATATTATTATTATTATTATTATTATTATCATTATTTCTTTTTTAATATAATTCTTGTGTATGCTAAATATAAAATTATATTATCCTTAATTCCCTATTTTAAATTTAGTAATTTTTTAATATTTTAAATTAAACGGAAGATTTATTAATTTAATATAAGGCTTCAAGTGTAATTTGTACATATTCATTACGAATATACTATTTACATAATAAATTTATGTTTAAAATTTTTCTTTTATCGCAACCAATTGATAATAGTTTTATGATTTATTTTAATATAACATGATAATTTAATATGCTTAGTAGAGAACATTTTAATTTAAATCATACTTAATATTAAAATATATTAAATGAATACATTTTATTGAAAAGAATTATTAAAAAATATGTGTTCTAATTTATAAAATTTCCATATACTAAATACTTACTGGTTATAATAATAATTAATATTGAATGTTAATTAAGTAAATGCTCAATTTTTTACTGTAATAATATTCTGTTTTATTTTATTTTTGTAAGTATATTAAGATTTTAATATATAAAGTCTTAATAACGAATTACTTGTGAATTATGAAAAAAATTATTTCTAATTCATGTAAAATAAAAACTTAATAATATTTAAATGCAAATAAAATATTCAGAAATTTCATTCTTCATTACTCTGTATTACTGTAATTGCAATTATAAAAAAAATGTGAAGAAAAAATTATTTGTATAGGGTTTTAGCATTATATTTATTAAAGAATAATTTGTAAATGATGTTACACGTACGTTATTACGCGTACGTACAATTAAGTTATTAATTGCTTTTTATATCGGCTAATGTATTATGTATTAATCGATTGTGTTTATGGTAGAATTATTATATAATTTTGAATATTTTATGACAATACCAATCATTAGTTTTAAGGTGATGTATTAATACACATTACTCATGTCTTATTATTAATAAATTAAATTTTATTTATATTATTAAAGGTGAAAGTAGATTTAAAAATGATGTTAACATCTAGTAAGCACTTTTTGTATTTATATTTCATAAATATATGTAATATTTAATTTGGACTTTTGCAAATAATGTCTGAATTCTATAAATAATTATAAGTAATATTTTTTTTTTTAACTAAGGTTCCATCTTAATAAACAGTCATAAGATAAAATTTTTGAATATTAATCCTCAAATATCTTTCAGTTTGAATTATATTACACCGAATATATTCAAATGATATATATTATAATAAATTTAATTATATTATATTTTTATAACATATTTTGTAATAATCATTATAAAATTACTATATTTTAATAAAGTGTTTTGTAATATTATTTTTTTATTATTTTTTACATCAGTTAATACTGATAACTTTGATCATCTTCAATCTCCAATACTACGGTAATATAATTTTACAAGATCTGTCCTTAATATATCGTGTTTTATAATATTGATTATTGAATTAAATTTTGACTGTACTAATTTTATGTAATACGAAAATAGTATTTTTTTTTTTTATATAATTTAAGAAATAAATGTTTAGATATTGATTAAATAGCATTAAATTTTATGTAAATTTTAGTTTTATCAGTGCTTTCATCAATATTGAACTATAAAATATATTCTAAAAAATCTCTCATAACATTAATTATTTACCATTTTCTAAATTGTATCATTTAATGTTATTTTTCTTCAAATTCAATCAACCATATTTCTTGTCTAATATTTTTACCTTAAAAAAATATTTAATTTATTGTATAAACGTTAATTATTAAATTAATAATTATGTGTGCGTGCGTAGCTTCGTACTTGTGTAGGTATATTAAATGCTTAACATAAACATTTGTATTAGTTAAGGCAATATTTAGTATTAGAATAATTATTTGTATAAATAGGCCATTAATTGTTGTTGTTCATAAATTTTTTGATAATTAAATTTTGATATTCAATATTTTTCGGTATATATTAACAATTTGTATTTTCAAGAGTTTCAATTTAATTTATACAAGATTACTGTTATTCTTACTTTGCCTAATTATATATAACAATTTATAATGCAATTATCTCAATGTAATTTCATTAAAATTAAATTTTAAATACCGGCGACTGTTAAAGGTATTAATGACTTTTAATTATAAATAAAACTAAATACAAAACTGAGGGATTTTAATTATTGTTGCTATTGCAATTTTTCTACATTTTATTCCTACATTTATTTGACATCCAATGTTCCTAGATTTGACTTTTGCACTCTCGTCCCATATTATCTTAATAAATAAATAAATAGATTGCTTCTCAAATGTATATTCATGTAAATTATACGTATATTTACATAGTATTTTTGAAAATATGCGTTTCAAGTGGTATTTTCATGTAGTATTCTCATGTAGTTTCGTGTGTATATGTGAACTCGAAATAACATAAAGAAAATAGAAAATGTTAAAAAATATGAGAGGGTTAGTGACAAGAGAAGTATTAAGTTTGACGACAAAAAAAAAAAAAAAAAAAATATGAAAAGAGAAAATACGCTTGTGAGTGAAAGAGACAATTTTATATTTACAAGATTCACCAATAAGTAATTATTTTTTTCTAGTTTTTATGTATTATATCAATCATACAAATACCATTTGCATTGATTAATAAAACATATATTATATTAATATTATAAAAATTTTTAAGTATTTTAACTATTATTGTTACCTTAAAATTATGTGTAAAAGATTTAGGATTGGAATATTTAAGCTGATACTAAAAATATATTAAAATGTATATTACAAACAATAATGAATATATTAGATCGCTTATTACATAATATATGTACATAAAATAGTTTAAAAACGATTAATCTTTATTGCTATTAATTCAGTAGAGCTTTTGTTTAAATATCAATTGATTCATCAATTGAAAATACATTTTTATTATTTATACTACGAATATTAATTGATTGTTCAAGTATTTAAAAGGGTGACTTTAGTTATATAACGAAATTTCTATGTAAGCAAACGAATATTTGCTGTCTATTTTTATCATTATACGTATCATTAATTTTAGAATACTTTTCAAAATTAATTGACGTTGTAAGTATAAAGAGACTTACATTCATACAATTAAACTATATTCTGTAATATAATGTATATAAGTTACTACTACCTAAAACACATAGTCGTTACGATTATTGTTAATGATGCAATTATTTTTTAAATATAAAAATTTTATGGTTAACTGTCGATAAAATAAAAATTTCCATAAAATAAAAATAAAATCATTCATTGAAAAACAACCAAAATGAAATCCAATGATTATTAAAGTTCTTACCCCTGTGACTATTTTCTCAGTACTATAAAACGAACTGCTATCACCATCACTCGTATGACATTTCATAATTACAAAGTTAAATAGATATAGAGGAGAAGGGATATAATAAGATTTACTTTAATTTGAAGGGCGGAAATCACGTAGATAATTAGTATGTGTTTTGAATACGATTAAAATGAATATATAACGTTGTTGTGGGCTTGTACAGTTGTAACTGAATAGTGAACTCGATAAACAAATATAATGAAAGCAAGAAATTCAATAAGCATACACTACGTCACTAGATATTTCTAAAAAATAGAACTTTTAATTTTGAACGGTGTTTATATAAGCCACTGGTAAATTATACAATTTGTTTAAATAACAACAAATATTAGTGAAATCCGTAATAAGAATTTTGAATTACTCTCTAAAAGGCTGATTTATCTCCTAGTTTCTTTGTATTTAGCCTTGACTCATTAAAAATTACGGAAAAAATAGCTTGTTAAACTGGAAAGAGGAAATGTTTGTGATTATTCGAGCTTCTTTATGATTTCATTTTATAATTATTCCAATAGTTAAAAGGTAATTTTTCAATTTGCAACTGTAAATTATATAAACGAATGTTTATTAAATTCAAAAATAATTTCAAAGCTAATTTTTTAAACAATGAAACTATCGCAATTTTTTATTTACATATTTGTAATTTTTATTCAGAGAAATATTTATGAGATTTTTTTTCGTTTTTATTGCATCTACCCTGAAAGAAAATTATAAGATTACACGGAATTAAATGAAATTATTTTATCCTGTTATTAATGATAAATTTATAAAAAAAAAAAAAAAACAAATAAATAAATGCTAATAGTCGCTAATATTAAATACTGGTTTAGGTATTATATTATTAAACCGTATTACCAAACAAATGGAAATTAATGAAAAAAAAAAAAAAAAAAAAAAAAAAAAAATTATATTGCTTACAATTTTATCCATATACTATAATTTCTGTACATTGTATAACTATCGTTATAATAATTAGATTAATATTGATAAAAAAACAAAAAACAAAAAAAAAACAAAAAAAAAAAAAAGAGGTGGAAAGTTACTTTAGTAAGGAGCTTAAATCGTGGCAAATTAATTTTAACGAAGCAAATGTTATTCTCTAAAAATTTTGGCCAATCGGTTAAATAATAATTCAACATTGTCTGATTAGCTTGGATCAGTCACTAGTCGATCAATGATCAACCAAAGCACCCTAATTATAATGCGAATTACACGAGTACAATTATGAAGGGTAATATTATAAAAATAAAAATGAAAGAAAATGTTCGTTTCCATAGAATCTCGATACGTAAATTAAAATTTTCATGATTCATAAACATCGTTAAAGTCCTTGCATTCCGACTACCGGATTTTTATTTTTCGAAGTAAAGAAACTTCATGTGGTTCACTCACGCATAGTATGGGGAAATTGCGACTTGCACGGCTGTCATTTATTGCATGTGTAAGGACGTTTCCCATGATCGAGTTG